CTGATAACAATTCAACCTTTTTACCAAGCAATAAGCATGAAGAAAATGCAAAATTCAGAATCATGATACACAAGAATGGGATCAAGAAAAAGGCTAGATGAAACTTTCTACGGCAACACCAAAAAAAAAAAGCACAGGAATTCACTCTTCTCTTAACAATTCTTACATAAAGAACAGATCTGAGAGTTGCAACAACAATAGTGACTAGCAGAAGTGATTTTTTGAGGCAATAATAATTATGGTAAGTATAATCTTGTAATAATGAATTTAAAATTTGGATTAAGAATTATCTTAACAATAAAATATTGGTAGTTCAAAAGGTGGTTATTAAAACATCACTATTCAATTAAATCAGCAGCTTTTTTCATTAGTTTTAGCCAAAGATTAGTATTTTTTTTTTTTTTTTTAATAATCTTTTAGCCTATAATACTGTATCATCAACTTTTACAGCTGTTTTTATAAATTCTGGAACACCTGACAAAAAATTGACTGGCTGAATATTTGCCAATTCGATAAGTTTTGATTTGGCAGTAATCATTACAGAAGTTACAAACTTATCGAATCGGCAAATATTTGGCCAATCAATTTTTTGCCAGATGCTCCAGAAATTATAAAAACAGCTGTAAATTCAATTTTGAGATCAGTTCATTGATAACAATTTAACCTTTTTACCAAGCAATAAGCATAAAAAAAATGCAAGATTCAGAATTATGATACACAAGAATAGGATCAGGAAAAGGCTGAATGAAACTTTTCATGGCAACACCCCCCCAAAAAAAGCACAGAAATTTGTTCTTCTCTTAACAATCCTTATATAAAGAACAGACCTAAGGGTTGCAACAACAATAGTGACTATGAAAATCATAGCAGAAGGCAATAATAATTATAGTAAGTGTAATCTCATAATAACAAATTTAAAATTTGGATCAAGAATTATCTCAACAATAAGTATTGATAGTTCAAAATGTGGTTATTGAAACATCACTATTCAATTAAATCTTTGTTTTCTTTTGGCATTAGCTTTAGCCAAAAATTGTCACTATATTATCAACTTTTACAACTGTTTTCATAAATTTTGGAACATCTGACAAAAAATTGGCTGACCAAATATTTGCCAATTCAATAAATTTTGATTCGGCAGTGATCATTACTGAAATCACAAACTTACTGAATTGGCAAATATTTTGCCAGATGTTCCAGAATTTATAAAAACAGTTGTAAATTCAATTTTGAAATTCTCAAAGCTATACGAATCAACACTAACTTTTCGATATTTCTTGGTTGATCACCCATTATGAGAAGTGTAAGCATCAGAGTTGCAGTATCTGTAGATTCATGATTACAGGCATTAGAGTTGCAGTATATATACAGGCATTGGAGTTGCAGTATATATAAATTCGTGATTACTAGTCATACCATCATGACTTAAAGATACTTTGGTATTTTTATAAAATAGTATAGCAAATTGAGAGAAATATTTAATAATTTAAATATGAGAATAATCATTATTTAATATAGATATTTAGATATTAGAATTAGCTAATTGAAGAAAGTTTTCAACATCCGGTCTTAAAGTAGATTATATCACACCATCAATAGCATTTTGTTTGATTAATTTAATAAAATATTTTAAAAGGGTGATAACACTTTGAGGAGATATGAATATATTAGTCCCAAGTGCAAAATGTAGTATTTGATATTAGACTCAGAAAAGTGTTAGGTAAAGTAGAACTGATTTTTGATAGAGTGGCATATCAGCAGTTAGCATTAGTAATTATGAAAAAGGTGTGGATTAGGTGAAAATTTGCGTAAATCTGTAAATAATATTAGAATAATTCTAATAATATTTTTTTTTAAATGTGTTTTTAATAAAAAAACTTGATATATTGATTATTCGATTTAAAAATTTTTATTTGATTTATTAATTGTTTAAAGATCTATAAATTTCAATATATTTTGATATTTTATTTTTTAAGAAGTTGTACTTGTGAAGTAAAAAATAAGAAATGAATTTGTCCTATATAACAACAATTACCATTAGCTTCTTTAACTTGCTTCTTTTTCCATTCTATTAAAACTTTTTCTCGAAAAACTTGTGATCTTTTAGATTTATTAGATTGTTGATTAGCTAATAAATTATTTTAAACCAAAAGTTCTAATAGATCAATTTCTTCTTTTTCTATTTATGTTCAATAATATTAGTAAATCGATCTGAATCTTTACAAACTATGTAAGTTTGTTGATTCTGATTATAAAATTTTTTTCTCCAATTTGGATTATTAAAAATTTTGGTTAATTCTTGATATGCTATATTACCATGAAAAATACATTTGTATTTGCTAATGCATTTTGAATAATAATGAATATGTCCAATAAAAATTGAATAAAATAAACTTTCAGAACAGAGTACAATAAGTGTTTGTTTTCTAATAGATTTAAAATTAAGTGATAATTTTCAGTGAATAAGTGCAACTAGTGTGGCTTTAAACTCAGTTATTGTCTGAAATAGAATTTTGTCAAGATCTTTGTCTCTTATTGTATTTGTACACAATTGTTTGATGAAGTTTTAAACCTTGAAGTGATTTAAAACCTTTTCCACAGATTAAACATATATTCATAACTAAAATTTTTAAAAAATAGTCTTTATTATATAGTTAAAATAAATTTTTATTATTTTTTAATAATTTTATTACTTACTTAAAAAAACCAATAGGTTTTTAGATAAGGCAATGGGTTTAACATAAGTTTTATTATAGTTTTTAGATAGGACAACAAATTTAACGTAAACTTTGTTTATAATATTTAAATTTATTAACCAATCAATATATGAGTTTTTGTACTACCGATAAGTCAAAATTTGTAAATCAGCAGATATGATATACTATCTGAATAATAAAAATATATATATTTTTTCTAAACTTGTATATAAATCATTATTTATTTCAAAACATATTATCTAATAATAGACTTAAGAAACCTTCCTATTAACTAATATATTTACTTTATAGTCTTATTAATATGATTACATTCTTGCAAAGTTTACACAAAACTTAGTATTAATTTTACAGTATTTTTCTAATATTTTAGCATATCTTGCTTTATATCCAAACTTTTAATTTAGATAACTTAAAAAAATTTTAATTTGTTTTTGGTATATCAAGTCTAATCTAATATTTTTTTTTAATCTAAACTTGATAATCTAGTTAGTAATATCTCTTATCTAGAGATTCTTGTCTATTTGACTTTTTCATATAACATCTATTTTCTAGATTTAATTTTTATAGCTGTATTGTTAAAATTTTATGTTATCTTTTTATTTAGATTTTTTAAATAGACTTTTGTTTTTTCAGTTTTACAGATTTAAATAATTATAATATTTATTTTAAGTTTGCATCATCTAGTACTGATTTGCATTTCTTTATATAATTAAAGTTATACAGATGTCTTATGACCTGCCAATCATGTTAGTACAATCATAGTTACAAATATCTTATTCTAACTGATTAATGAAAAATAATTACAATAATATAAATAATTGTTCAAATTTTTCATTGTCTATAGGTTTTAAACTTTCAACCTACCAATTGAAGATGACGACTTATTTATTTTACTAAATCATTACACTCTAATATTTTTTTTTGTTCAAATGTAAGTAATATGTTTGTGTAATACAGATTAAAAACAATATAGATTTGATTTTTTTTAAGATAGATCAATAAAAATAAATGATCAAAAACAATGTTTTGCAACATAAACTTATAATATTTAATATTAAAATTTTAATGAAATTGAATTACACAATTTTGAGCTATATTACAATTTGCCAAATTTTGACAATACATTTTTTTGGGGATCTTTAATTAAAATTCAATAATGATTTTAACTTGACCAAGAACATTACTCAGATACTTTCTGTTTAAAGTTGTCATATTGTTGCATAAGTTTTTAGAATTTTAAAATGTCAGGCATTAAAATCAGTTAAGTCCTCATCAAGATGTATACAATTTTAGCTAAATAAAACTTCGTGATTAGTAAATTACTATTAAATTTTTAATCATAAAGTTTTATTTAGCTAAGTTGTATACACCTCGATGAAGGCTTAACCAATTTTAACGCCCAAGAACATTTTAAAATTTCAAAAACTTATGCAACAATCTGATAACTTTAAATTGAAATTATCTGGGCTCCCGTTGGTAATATTCTTGTTCAAGCTAAGATCACTATAAAATTTTAATAAGGATTCCAAAAAAAAAATGCATTGTCAAAATTTACAAATCTTAATGCTGAGTAATTCAATTTCGTTAAAACTTTAAATATTATGTGCTTATGCTAATTAAATAAAAAAAACATATATATTTCAAAACAACTCAAAACAACTTGTCGTCGAGAAGATATGTGAGCTCAAAATTTGGTTTTCAGGTGATGTATTTTTTTCGGAAGCCACTGTGTATTACATGAGAAATGAAGTGGAATATATAACTTTACCCATGAAATCTTTATTTAAAACAATTTTGGCAATTTTTACACAAAATTAATAAAATTAACAAAAAAAAAAAAAGATAAAAATTCGGAGTAAATGTATTAATTATAATTGAAATTGAAATAAATTAATAGGAACGGCAAATCATGAGAAACCAAAATATTTCAATAATATTATGAATAGAAAATTCTCAATTTCCAGAACATTATCTTTAATTACTAACATATCGATGTTACGTGATTTACAGCACTATAATTTTATTATTTTTTTTAATTCAGTAACTGTAGTATGAAAATCGCAATTTTGTATCTAAACAAATGCACCGAAAAAAAAGAATATATTTAACATAAATGTTTCAACCTAAGTAATAAGTTAAAAATCAGAATAAATGTGATATTCATATCTTTAGAACAAATAAAAATTATTCAACTCACGATTTGTCTCTCGGAAATAGATTCAACAATTTTCTAATAAGACCCGTCTTTTGCAACCTTTCCTGATTGCTTGTTTTTTGGGGATTTTTGATACTCATCTTTCAATTTTTGTAAAACCGGATCACGTGAACGAAATTGCAACTTCAATTTATCCAACACAGGGTCACTTGATGTTTGAACAACAAATTGTGGTACTTTATCACTTTCTATTTCTGATCCTTTTAAAGAACTTGACTTATTATCGACATTTTGAGATATTAGAGCGTCACGTTGCTTTAAGGTTAGTGTCGTAATTTTTGTTGAATTTACAATGTCCTGAACAACACTTCTTGCTGTGGATTTCAAAGATGTTATTTTTATTTCTATTCCTTTGATCTCCTCCTTTATTCTTAATGTTGAACTATTGAATTCAGCTGTCACGTTCTGGGAAGTGATATTAATATCCCTATCAACCTCGTCATAAATTTTTTGATCAATAGTTATTTTTCCTGCTTTGCTATGTGCGTTAGACTTGATGCCATTCATGTTACTGTTTATAATTAAAACAAAATCTTTTTCCAGTTCATTAACTTTTTCATTCAAAGTGTCAAGCGATTCATCAGCTTTTTTGAGATTTGTTTTAATTGTATCGATAGTTTGTTTAGCATATTCGGATATTTTATCAATCTTGATTGTAATATTTTTCTCAGTATCCTTTGCGAGTTCGTCAACAAATTTTGTAAGCTTGGAAGGATAATCAGTGCCTAATTTGTTAAGAGATATTATTTTAGCTTCAGTGTCATCCGATGTTTCCTTTACTGCAGATTTTGCTTTAAGCTCATAGTCCTTAAGAGCTATACTGATGTTTTCTCGGGCACGAGATATGCCAATAGCAGCAGTATCACGAACAGCCTTAATAGCGGCAGCCTTTTCTGCTTCTTCCTTAGCCTTACGTTCGGCTTCCTCCTTGGCTTTACGTTCAGCTTCTTCTTTGGCTTTATGTTCAGCTTCTTCTTTGGCCTTAAGCTCAACTTCCTCTTTAGCCTTGCGTTCAGCCTCCTCTTTGGCTTTACGCTCAGCTTCCTCTTTGGCCTTGCGTTCAGCCTCCTCTTTAGCTTTGCGTTCAGCTTCTTTCTTGGCTTTACGTTCAGCTTCTTCCTTAGCTTTGCGTTCAGCTTCCTCTTTAGCTTTTCGTTTAGCTTCCTCCTTAGCTTTACGTTCAGCTTCTTCTTTAGCTTTGCGTTCAGCCTCCTTCTTAGCCTTTATGTCTGTTTTCTTTTTGTTTTCGTCTTCACCTTGTACAAGCTCCATGATGGCCTTAATACAATACTCGACATGAGGCTTAATATTAGTATTATAAAAGGGAACAATATGTTTATGATAATTTTCGTTTGCAGTTTTTACTAACTGATTAACATAGGGAGCTACTTTTTCATTGTATTTAGCAATTGCATTCTCTTTCGATTTCACCACAAAAGGAATAAATTTATGATAGTACCAAGGTTGAATTTTCTTTTTATTATAGCTAATCAATTTTTCATAAGCATAATTGACTTGATTCTGTGCATTATTTAGATATGGAGTAACTGTTTTCCTAGCCTTCTCGTAGAATGTATCCACACTATCTTTTGCGTTTTGACTGTAAAATTCCTGAACTTTTATCGATCCTTCAGCAGCAGGATTATATATAAATTCGACAGATAATTCCTTAGCTCTCTGTATGTAAGGTTGAGCAGATTCAATGTAAGGATCTATATGAGGTTTTGCATGAACCTCATAAGTGACCAAGGCTTGTTTTCCATAATCTGCAGAATAACGTTTAATCTCGATAACCCCAGGTTCGATATATTTGTGGAACCAATCGTGTGTAAGAATATATTGGGAGATTCCATTGTAGCAAAAAAACTCGGCTGCATATGAACATTGTTTGCGAGATTTTCCATGACAAACGAAAAACACTCCAAATATGTAAAGGATAAGAAGTGTTCTAAACGTGAGTAGTCCGCCGAACAATCCAGTTTTCTTAGGTTTCTTACGCTAAATAAAGTAGTTGCTAAATAAATAAAATACACAACCCTTGAATCCGACTTTAAATTTTAAATATAATAAATACCTTCTTAATAACTTTCTTACTTTTTAACTATGAATAAAAACGAATTATTGTTATTCTTATATTTCAAATTGATAACGACAAAACGAAACAACTGCAATGTTTTTAACAATGACTAAATATAGAGGCTAAGCTAAACTTCAAGCCTCATGTTTTTTTTGTTTTTTTTTAACTCACTTTTCTACCACTTTTTGGAGATTTTGGATCTGTATTTTGCGTCTCTTTTTCATCGTATAGTGAGTCTTCATTCAAAGATTCTTGAAATTTTGGTTCGTTCAAATGGGCAGCATTTCGTGGCTCTTTCTCATAATATGGTATGTCTTCGACAAAAGAGGAACCACCTTGTTTTTTACTCGGAATACCATTTATTGAGCCAGGCGATTGATCACTGGAAGATACTTTTTCTTGAGGCAACCCCTTTGAAGATTTCTTTTCTTTGTTTTTGTTTCTCTTACTACTCATTTTCTCTGACGCTGATAGTTTGAAAACAAGATTTCGCGTTAGAAAGAAATATATAGGATCTTTTAACGATGAGTTAAACAAATTAAGTTACACTGCAGTCGTAGCATTTGATGAACATTAATCTAATACATAATAATCGAACCAAGAATTTACATACACGTGTTATTTACGAAAGTTTTTTTCCTTGTGTCTTCTGATATCTCTATATCGATATATTTTGAAACAGTTGTACAGGCTTGATTGGTCAAGTTTCAACTCAGATTTAGATGGTTCGTTAGCCGCGTACATATGTACGTCTTGTGGCAGTAGGTCGCGTGTATGTCATACCGATAATTAATAGTGTTGACAAACCTGTTTGCAGCATAGAAGTTCATGTGAACATGATAATCCTTTAGATGTAAGTAAAACAATCACCTTCATCTATTGTTATAACAATTACTCCACTTTTAATTCGATTATGAAATTACATCATTTATACCCAACCCATGTGAACTAAATTTTTTATAATCAAGCGCTATGGGCATGTATAAAACCCATTGTCACATCACATCTACCACAGGGAAATTTGGAAAATCTGTTAAAATGGGTTAATTCGATATATTACGTACAGTTAGAGATTTTACCAAAAATAGATATCGGTTTTGAAATGTTCTGAGATGATAATGATAATTATGTGTATGTGAAAAGCAGGAAATCTACATTCATCATGGTAGATAACAAGAAAGAATTTCTCATCAAATGAATTTTGACTACATGATGAATGATTCATTTTTGAAGAGCAAAAAGAAAATTAGGGTACCTATTCAGTCTGCAAGAACTGGATTCTTTATCTATAGATGTAATGAAGGTGTTCTTTCTTGTCTTTGTAATGGTTATTAAAGTTACGGTTTTGCATTGGCCGTACTTAGAAGCAATTTCACTCTGATAAATGTTTGAACATTATTAGCATATTCTCTCAATATGATCTAACATAAAAAAACTTGAATGCATCCAGTTTAGCATTGCCTTCGAAAGTGTTCATACTCTTCTCAATACACAAGGGCTAATTTTGATTGTAATTCTGGTCAAATTTATGGATCATTTGGCCAGACTCGGAATCAAAAAATTCCGAATTTGGTAAATGATCCGCAAATTTGACCATAATTAAAAAGTAATTGGTTCTGCAATCAAAATTAGTAACCGTTGAGCGGAAATGAATAGGAGAAATAAGCCAATTTAACTCCAACGGCGTACGGAAAAACTAAGGATAAACGAAAGCGGTTTTTATGAATTTGGAGGGGCTTTATCAATAGGTGATAATGAAGTAATTTCTTTAGGTTCAAATGACGGATTTACGGAGACTGTTTTTATCAGTTTTTACAGGTAACGAGAACGACAATATTTGATTTTACTAGCAGATTGTTAATAGCACTACCTGCTTTTTTACTATACTATCATTTGAGTTTTAATAAACCCGTCGAAGTTATAAGTCACTTTAGTCAATTTAATTGAGTCTTGATGGTTTATTAAAATTACAATTAAAATGCAAAGGCATTTTACAAGAAACAACTCAGATAAGTAAATACTTTATTATTATTAAAATTAATAATGAACAAGTATTATTTTTTCTTATTGGACTTTAAGCATTTAAATATTTTTTGATTCTTAGAATATAAATACTAAAATTTTAATGTTTATACTGAATTTTTAATGCTTACACAAAATCTTTGATGTAATTATTGAATAATAGATATAAATATTTAAAATTTCAAGGTACAGTTTTACTGCAACTATGTAAATACAAAATTTTCAGTAATTATACAATTTTGTTAATATATATACATTATATAGACATTTGAAATTTTTTTTTAACTTAGCAGTAATTGTCAAGTTTTATTTAATTTTAGTAAATGACATTTTGAACAATATTGTTATTAAACTGTTTTGCTTAGTAAGAAAGTTCAGACTTTGCTATCTATATTAACTTTCAATACATCTTAATTTTATTATTTTTAGTTAATACTAGTTATTATATTTCTTATTGTATACTTGTAACAACTTTCAAATTGGTATTTTGGGATTTATAATCTTTATAATTTTTTATTTTTAATTTATTTGTTAATTATTTTTTTAAAATATTTTAACAATAATTTAAACACTGTAATAAACTTATATATTAATCTAAGATCTTGTTATTATTATTAATTTCTAATTTAATTAGCTTTATTATTGTTAGAGTTATATTGTTAGATTAAGTTAGTAAGAAATTAAGATCTAGCACCAGCTATTTGTCTAATTAATAAATAAAAGCTTGCTTTGAGTAAATCTCAGTTTTCAACTACTTCTTTAATAATTTTGCTAGGATAGAAGTTATGAAGATGTTTTTTAAGAAAGTTAAAAAGTTTTTAGAATATTCCTGTTTGTAATTTTGTATGATTTTGTATTTCATCAATGACTGGAAAGTTTGCTAAAAAATCATATAATAGGTTAAGTTTGGGTTTTGTTGCTTGACTATAAGATTAAGTTAGTTAAGATTGTTGAAATAAATTTTGTTAGATTGTTGTTTGTGTAAAAGTAGTAAAACTTAATATAGAGGTTGTTGTTGTTGTTGTTGTATTTATTAGATTTGTAGTTATTGTTGTTGTGATTTAGGTGGTATAGTAGAGCTATCGATATTCATATCATTGTTAGTAAAAGTTGTTTTATTGAAGTTAGATAGAGTAGATATAAGTTCTGAAACAAGAAGATTGTTTGAATTTTGATCAAGTAAAGAAATAACAAGTTGTTAAGTTGAAAGTTTATATTGTAAAGATAGACCTTGTTCAGAGTTTTCAGTAGATTAGAGTTTGGGTTGATTAGCTAAGGTAATTTCTTTATAAATTTCAGCTAAGCAGCTATTATGATATGCTGTATTTTGGTAGAAGATAGTTTCATTTTGTAGTATATGATTGTTTATCACTTTACAGTTTATTAGAATTTGGTATTTGGGACAAGTGTGTGTAGATAATGGCTATAGAAGATGATGAAACTTGTGATTTAGATTTTGCAAATGCTTATTAGAGTTTTTTTAGTTTTGTTATTTCATTAGTTTTACTGTTAAGTTCATATATTTTGTTGTTTTCTGCAATGAATTGAGTGTAGAATAATTTATACATGCATTTAATTGTTGCAGTTGTTGCAAAAGCAGAAAAAAAATAAGTTGCTAAATAAGATCTAAGTTCTATAGCAATATATTTAGTAGGTCTGTATTTGTCCAGAATGGTTCTTACTTGTCTGAATTTTTTTTATAAATAACAATGCTATAGGAACTTACATGATTCTTAAAGACATAATCAAGATCTAAGATATTTGGTACTTCTGTACTAAGAGTAGGCATAGTATTATAAGTTTACTTAGAAGTCTGAGTTTAGGTTATTTAGTAAAAATTTCTGTAATTTTTGATTAAAAATTTTTAAAGTTTAATTATAATATAAGATTAATTTCAGAATATAATTTGTGTTTGCAGGGGTTTTATTGTAACTACTGTGACTGATGCAGTTTGTATAACCTTATGTAACCTATGTAATACAAGTTTGTGGCTGGTGTGGCTAGTATAATTAATGTAGTACAAATTTACAAATAGTTGAGTATTATAATAACTATTGTGTAATTGAGTACAAAATTTATTTTTAGCAAGTTAGTACAAGATAATTTGTAACAAATAAATTTCTTTTTTGGATAAATTTAATTTACATAATGTGAAATTAAATAAAACCAATTTTAGAAATAATTTGAGATTATATAAAAAACATTTTGGAAAAAAAAAATTTGGGAGTAAGGACAAAAGAATTAAAAAAAAAAAAAAAAATTATAAAGGAGTTGAAGTTGTTTTCTATTATAATTCAGTAAATTTTAGGCTTACAAGCTTTTTTTTTGCCTTATTTTAATCAGTAAAGAGTGCTTTACAACTTTTCTTATAACTGTAAAGTAGATTAACAAAATACTTTATAAGAAATAATTAAAAGTTTAATAATAAAAGCCAAAGGCTGTTTTGGCAATGTTAAATTGTAAGTTCAAAAGTTATAAACTTAAAACTTTTAGAATATATATAAAATTAGGAGCTAAGCAAGTTTGTTTAAGACATCAATATTGGTTATTTTAGTAAAATAACCAGATATTAGTGATTTTAGTACTGATGAACTTTTAGTTTTTTTTGTGTACAAAGAATTTATGAAAAGAGTTTTTTAAGAAATTAATATACTATTTTTTTAAAATATTTGTAGCAAAAAGCTTATAATTTAATATATTATAATAAATATGTCAAATCTAAAAAATCATTTGTCTGAAAACTAATTATTTGCAAAGAGATAATAAATTCTTAAATAGTAAATTAAAAAAATATAAACAAATATATTAAAAAAATTTTACAAATCTGTTTTGCAGCTCATAAAATATTTATAATAACAAATAAGCAATTAAAAGCAGCTATTTAAGATTGATTTATAATAAATAAAAAGCAAAATAGTACTAAAATAGTTTCTATAACAATACAAGTTTGTAAAATTAGAAAAATATTATATTGAATTGCTGTTAGTTATACAAAAAAAATAATAGAATAGCTAATTAACAAAAAATCAGATAAATAGTTTTCTATTAACACACTTGTTAGATAATATTAAGATATATCAAATATTTATATAATTTAATAATAAGTTATTATTAAAGCTTTTAAATAGTTTACTTTTAAAATTATAACAAATAAGTCAATGTATAATATTAATAAAGTCATTTTTATTTGTTTATATACTGAAATCTAATTAATAACAAACTAAAAATTACTTTATTAGAATTTAAAAATTTAGCTCAATACATTGAAATATTAATTGTGCATATAGTTATTAAATCATATAATCATCATCAGTTAGATTTGACTAGATGCTTAACTTGAATAATTAATAATACAATATATATATCAAATTATAAAAATAATATCATAATACTATTTAATAAGAAAATTAATTCAAATTTTATATAATACATATAATAATGATCAATTTCAAAAATATTGTATTTGAAAAATTAACAATCAAAAAAAGAATTTTTTAATTAAAAACATTCTTTTAATTTGCTTTACCTTATTTGAAAATTGCATAATAGCTATAGTGAAAGTAATAAAAATAATATAATAAATATGAAATTATTATATATATTTAATTTATATTTTAAGCTCTTTGGTATTTATTTAACTAAGTTCTAAAAACTTTTATATTAATAATAATTATATAAGTTACAAGCAGCAAGACAGTTAATAAAAAGAAATGAATAAATAGAAAAATTTATTTTTTGAATCTTTTTTTTTTTTTTTATTTTTAAGGTCATACTTGTGATGATACTTTATTAACTTTATATTGGGTTAGCTATTACAACTATTTTTATAGAGATGAAAGTACAGCTAGTCATACATGCAACTTTTGGTTGCCTATTTAAATAGTTTGCTTTAAAGTTCTACACTAGATGCCATACCTATAACCTACTAGGAGATTATCTATTTAAACTTTCTGATCATCTGCTCTGTCATATTGGAATCTCCAACTAACCTCCTGTATATACCTAACTGGTATACCATTTGAGCAATATAATATTTACCCTTTTTGTACTAGTTTCTAGGCTGTTACACATTTCAGAGTATGTCACCTGCTAGTAAGGTGCAAAGGGCCCTCTGTTGTTAACTATCTACTCACTTTTAGAATACTAACATAGGCTACCCTTGCAGAGTTCACCCAGACTTCAGTACTAACTTTATAGCATATCTCTAGTACTTTTAGTATATCACTACTTTGAACCCAGACTCCCAATCCAAATAGTTCAGAAAGACTGTGACCTGTCTTTGGTATATTGAAGCCAGCTCAATATCCTTTTCCTTTAGTCTGAAATCTGATGACCTGGTTGGTGGTACCCCTTATCCAAGGTTCTTGCCTGCCCGAATTCTTCACATTGGTATCCATTTTCTAGGTCTAGCCTTTACAGTAGTACTATCAAAAATCTGTGTTATCTCTCTGCTTGAAATTTTCAAGTAGGCTCTAGCTTTCTAGTTCTACAGATTTACACAAACTGAAGACTTATTTTAGGTTTGCATTGCCCAGTACTGGTTTGTATTCCTTTGTGTAACAGGTTACACAGATGCCCCAGACCTGCCAGTCATGCTAATGCAACCACAGTTACAGGTATCCTATCTCAACTGATTGACAGAATGCTGTTGCCGTTATACTGTCTATATATTACATAGGTGATTATTTAAATTTTGTCATCAGTGGGTTTTGAACTCACAACCTACCACTTGGAGGTATGACAACTTATCTACTTTACTAAGTTGCCACACCCTTTTATTTTTTGAATCTTAAATAAATTAAAATTATAAAAAAAAGTACCTAAATTATATATAAAAAAATATGAATTTCTTTAGTAATAGCTTATAAATTCAGATTTAAAAATACAAATTAAATGTTTTATAAAATTTAGTGATCAAATTTATAAGCTAATTATAAATTTTCTTATTAAATTTGATAAAAAACTATAAAATTTTCAATTTGATATGCAATTATTACTGCTTTTACCTAGTTAATAATTTTATAAAATATCAAATGCTATTCTTAAATAGTTAAAAACTTAATATAGAATTAAAGATAATATTAGTTTATTTTTTTATATAAAATTATAAAATGCTATTGATATTTTAGATAAAAAAATTTTTGAATTTTTTTTTAATAAGTTAATATTTGGTATTAATAAGACTACAAATTCTTTAAAAACTTAAATAAATATTATAATAGAATTTACTATTTTTTATATATTATTAAATATTCTTAGTATTTTTATATAATTTATAAATTATTTTATTTTATTTATTTTTTTTTTTTTCCTTTGGCAGCCTTGCTGGTCACCTTTATTAAGATTCTTGCATATACAACTTTGCATGAAGTTGGCTTAAATTTCGGCCCAACACCTCTCGGCTGCTTCTAAGAGTGCCCAAGAGTGGTCTGCCGCACTGGCTAGACAAAGATTAACAGCCAGGGGCAATACCAGATCTGCCAGTAAGACTATACAATGGCCTCAAATTAAAAAAAAATTTATAAAGAGAACTATAATTGATCATCTGAGCTATGCTATGGTTGTGATCAACACTTGCAGTCAGGGCTAAACCTTTAACCACTATGCTTTTGGTGACCTTTCTATTGGGTAGACTATATACTCTATCTAATTTACTTCTACAAAACCCTCCTAGTTGTAACCTTTTCTTTTTCTTTTTTCGATATTTCCATCCAAATACTTCTTTGCTTCATCTTTTTCTTTTCTTTTTTGCTCTTTCTAATCTTCCCTTTTCTTTTATCTTCTCTTGATCTTTGGTTTTTTGATTGACATCTATTTTCTTCTGTCTCCAACGAAGAGTATTCTTCCATAATGATCCTTTTCTTATTACTTTTTTGTTTTCTGTTAATCGTTCTTCTTCCTCTTGTTCTCTAGGTTTTGCTTTTACTTGCGATAGGCCAAACTCTTGAGGTTTCTTTATCAAAATCTTTAGATTACTTCTTTCTACTTTCTCTTTTTCTGTTTGCAACTTATCTATGTACTTCTTCTTTTGCATCCACCAATCTGCATTAACAATTTTCTTTTTTCTTTTTTTTCATGCCTCTTCAGCTTCTTGATCAAATAGCCTTTTATTACTTTTCTTGCATATTTTTTTACTTGTAACCTTTTCTGTCTTGTTTTTGAACCTCAAGATAGCTATTTCCTTGATGTTCTTCCAGCTAATTTTCAGTCTTGATTCTTCCTTCAGCTCTTCTAGCACTTTCTACATTTTTTGTCTACTTCTATCTACAATCTGTTTTATCATAATTTCTTTTTTCATCATTTGATGCATTGATTGCTATGCTTGGGCTCTTCTTTTTTCCTTTTTCTCCTTTCAAAGCCTGGCTTTTTCTTTTGTTAATACTTTTTAAAATTTTGCAACAATTTCTTTCTTTATTGCATCTACATGGTGTTTTTGCTTTAGAGCACGTATTTTCATCATTCTGTTACTTCAACCTATTTCAAGTCTTCTTTCAAATTTTAATGTTGTCATACTTAGTAGCCCATACTGTGCTTCAATTGAGTTTTTCATTTTACTTAGTGCACCATTTGCTTCTAATTCTACATATAAATTATGCACCTTCTTGAGTCTATCTAGTTCTTGTGTTGTTAAAATTCTACCAAAATACTTGCTAATTAACGAAAAATCTTTTGCTTGGATGAATGTCACTGCTATAGGTTCTGTTTTCTTTTGGTTTTTGTCTATCCTTTCATGTTCTTCTACTTGTCTAATTTCTTCTACTTGTTTCTTTTTCTTTTTCTTCTTTTTACTTCTTCTTTCTGCTGCTTGTTTTTGTCGTTCCATTTCACTTTTTCTAGAACCTTCTCTGTTTATCTAGATCTGTTTTTCAGATTGGTCATATATTCTATCATGTGTACCTGTTTGTTTACTTTGTTTTGATTGTTCTGCTTTGTGTAACCAAACTAATCTGCAGAAACAAGGTAATGATAATCCCCACTTTTTACAAAATTTTTGCAAAATTTTCAATAAAAATTTTCATTTTTCTACTGTTGTTTGTTGACAGTGCACTTTTTCCAAGTTTTTTCCTTTTTTTTTTAACAACTAAGTATAACTTTTGGAGCTCTTTAACTTTTCTTAAAGCTCCAAATATTGTTTTCTAGTGTCAGTTTTCATATTTCTTGTGGTTTGCTTTTTGGAAATTTTGGTCGAAGGATCTGCAGAAGAGAGTGATGATAAGTATTTTATTGTATAAAATATTTTATTAATTTTAATCATCTATTTAATAGATTAATATTTATTTTATTAATAGATTTTATATATATATATATTTTTTTTTATGACTTAGGCAGTCTTGCTGATCACCTTTATTAAAATTCTTGTATATATATTGTACAAAGTTGGCTTAAATTTTGGTTCGACATTCCTTAGCTACTTCTGTGAGTGCTTAGAAGTAATTTGCTACACAGGCCAGATGGTTATTTCTGGCCTGGAGCTATACTAAGCTAGCCAGTAAGACTCTAAAAAAAGGGTCTTATGTTTCTATTTACAAAACTAAAGACTGAATCAAGCCATGTATCCTGAATTTGAATCTTATTTTCCTTCCCTTATGACTCGATTTTGTTCATCTATATTTATAGTCTTCTCTTCTTTTCATGTTTCCTTGCTTGAGAGGTTTTGTTTTTATTATTTTTTTTCTTTTTAATTGTGGTTTTAATTCCTATTAATTTTTCCTAGTTAACAACAATATTACATTATTTTTTTCATATTGTAATAGAATTTATTTTTTTTCCTATATTAGTATATATTTATTTTTAGCTCTATATTATATTTTATAATTT